CCAAAACACTGGTCGGATCTAGGAAGGCAGGGAGAGTTAAGGCAGAGGCATAGAAATTGCTCTTCCCCTCTCTCGTCAATCCATGTCTATGGTCTTTAAGATAACTTGTTATGTAAAATTATTTATCTAAGATGCACCTACACTGAATTTATCTGAAAAATAAAAAAGTCGATATTAAGAAAAAAACTGTAAATGGAAGATTATAAGAGAGGGTTTTACGTGCCAGCAAAAGTTACTGGCGTGCCATGTTTGGCACGCGTGCCAGGGGTTGCCCACCATTGATCTAGACCAAGAGCACTACCTGATGGCTGTGTCCCAGCATCACAGCTGGAGGTTGCTCCTGGTCAGTGATGCTTCCTGGGTCACCTGGTGAGGGCAATCTCTTTCCCTGTGACTAATGGATGGTCTGAGGAATAATACATGGTGTCTGCATGGGGATCTCTCTAAGGCAGCCCTTCCTCCCAAGTTGGTTGGCATTCTTGTGAAGAGCCCTCTTTTCTTTCCTCCACCATCTCCTTATTTACATTTGAAAAACTTTTTTAGGGTCAGTACATTCATGGATTGTTTTTTAATTCAATGTGTTGTCCATTTTGGATATTAGTCATTGTCCCAGATTTGGCTGGTGGGCATCCCTGCAGGTGGTTCTGTCTTCTGTTGGTTCCTGTCATTTTCATTGTTCAGCATCCCCTTTCTGGCATTAACCAGATCCTGGTTCCTTTCAGCAGGAAAGATATTTAGAAATTAGACTGAGTGCTGGGTGTGCTCAAGGCCACTGGAGAGTCTGTTTCTTTTTGTTGTTGTTAATACTCGATATTTTTTCATTGACTTTTTAGAGAGTGGAAGGGAGCAGGAGAGACAGAGAGAAACATCAATGTTAGAGAGACACGTCAATTGATTGCCTCCTGCAGGGTGACAAGGTGTTGGGGATTGAGCCTGCAACTGAGGTACATGTCTTTGACCAGGAATCGAAACCAGGACCCTTCAGTCTGTGGGCCAATGCTCTATCTGCTGAGCCAAACTGGCTAGGAAATTCCAAAAATTGGAGCTCTGTGCCTGCAGGCTGGAGTTTCTGTCTCTTCTTGACACCAAACCCCCCTAGTTCTGTTGGTCGGCAAACCGTTGCTCGTGAGCCACATGCGGCTCTTTGGCCCCTTGAGTGTGGCTCTTCCACAAAATACCACGTGCGGGCGCACATGTACAGTACAATTGAAACTTCGTGGCCCATGTGCAGAAATTGGTGTTTTGTGGAAGAGCCACACTCAAGAGGCCAAAGAGCCGCATGTGGCTTGCGAGCCGTGGTTTGCCAAGCCGCAGTTTGCCGACCACTGCCCTAGTTCATGTTGAAAATTGCCCAGTGCACTTAGAAGTTGCCTAAACATTTAAAAGGAGAGCAGTTCCTTGGTATTCTTGCTGGGGGTGGGGTCACAGGTGTTTGGGGACTTGGTCAGTGCTCGATTGGCCAGGCTGGTGGCTTCATGGTGCCTGTTTAAGGGTGGCTCTCAAAGGTGCACACACGTGTTCCTGCACTATTTTCTGTGCATGCTTTATTTCACAATGAAAATGTTTAATTGAACACATAGAAAATATTTGGTTCTTTTTTCTCTGTGTGCAGCAGGGTTGGTCTTACGCTTTATTTCTCAAGTTTGAGTTGTGTTTCATATACCATTTATGTACCTGTTTCTTTTGGGTGAAGTTGTACCTACTTAGCCCATAAGAGCACGTCTCCATTTCTCAGGAAGGTTATGCAGGAGCAGCCTTCCATGTGCGGAGGCCACTGCGTTTCCTGCAGACTCTGAAGGGCACTGTAATGGACTCCCTGCGGGAGCCGAGGTCACCAACAGGCCATCCCTGTGGCGACCCCTGGTGCTGCTCATCCCCCTGCGCCTGGGGCTCACGGACATCAACGAGGCCTACGTGGAGACACTAAAGGTGGGTCTGTGCTGGGTCTGTCCTCTCACTGGCCAGTGGGAGAATTGAAATACTGTTTTGCATTAAAACCCTTCTGTGTCACCATCTTGGCCCCATCCTCCAGCCCTCTGGACTCCTGGCCTCTACTTGGGCAGTCCCGGCTGCCCTTCCCACTGGCCCCTGTGCTCTTCCCTAGCCTTGCTCCTCCTGCTGACTTGGTGGTTCCAGTGGCCTCCTGTCTCCACCCAGCCTTGGTATGCAGGCCTCCTCTACGTGCCTGTGTGCCCTTTTTGACACCCGCTGACTCTTGCCTACCCTCCTCCCACGGCCCGCACGTCCACCTTCCTCAGGCCCATCCCCTGCACAGAGCTCCTGAGCCCACAGCACGTGTTTCTTCAACTGTTTCCTAAGCTCTTGGGGGTTCATTCTCCTCCTTGGGCCTCTTGTTCAGGGGTGCAGGCCTCCTGCTTGCACCTGCTCAGCAGTCCACCTTTCTTCCCTCCTGCAGGGCTGTTTCATGATGCCTCAGTCCCTGGGAGTGATTGGAGGGAAGCCCAACAGTGCCCACTACTTCATCGGCTATGTGGGTGAGTGGGGAGTCCCGCGTGATGCCCCACTTGGCCAGAAGATGAGGGGGAGTGATCTTCAGGGCAGCCCTGTGGAACAATGCTGGCCCCCCACACCTAGAGGTGGCTTGACCCAGGGCCACCAGTAGAAAAGCAGCATGTCCCCACCCCATCTACCTGCTGTCTTTCCCAACCTGGCTTGTCCAGGTGACGGTTGTGGTGTGACAGGTCTGAAATAGGACCCCCATTGACACCCCCTTTGCTGACTTTCATGTCGTCTTGCCCAGGTGAGGAGCTCATCTACTTGGACCCCCACACGACACAGCCAGCTGTGGAGTTAACTGACAGCTTCTTGATCCCAGATGAAAGTTTCCACTGCCAGCACCCCCCGAGCAGGATGAGCATTGGGGAGCTAGACCCGTCCATTGCTGTGGTACGTTCCCCACTCCATCCCATTGTCCCCTGTGAATGTGGGAGCTTATGGGCACTGGGGTCCTGCATGGCCTTTGCTGCTGAGCTACTTAGCAGATGCAGGTTGAGGCCAAGTCACAAACCCACCAGCCTAGCCCCTGTTCAGGGGCACAGGGGAAGAGACCTGTGTGCTCTGCCATGTAATTATACCTGCTTCGTTCTAAGGCCTTAAAAATCATACACAACCTCCATGATCTGGGACAGTCAGGGCAGAGGGCAAAGGGTCGAGCCGAGGATGGAAACCATGGAGAGGGGCAGAGGCTGGAGAAGTGAGGGTGGTGGGAGGTGCCCCAAGGTCCCTGCAGTGGCACTGGGAAAGGAAATCTGGCCTCTTAGGTCACTCTGTGGCCAAGTTCAACATGGTGCCCACTTATGCTGCTTTCTGCTTACCACTGTTTTTCCTTTCAGGGTTTTTTCTGTAAGACTGAGGATGACTTTAATGACTGGTGCCAGCAAGTAAAAAAGGTTCGTAGCGCATGGCGGGTGTGGCTCAGTGGTTAAGCGTCATCCTGTGAACTAGGAGGTCACAGTTTAATTCCTGGTCAGGATACATGCCTGGGTTTCGGACTCAGTCCCCAGTGGGGGCGTGCAGGAGGCAGCTGATCAATGATTTTCTCTCATCATTGATATTTCTCTCCCTCTCCCTTCCTCTCTGAAATAAACGTGTGTGTGTGTATATTTTTAAAGGGGATTGGTAACAACTCTGCTATCTGAGTGGATGGGTCTCTGGCTCAGCACCTGCTTCCCCACTCATTCCTCCACCAGCGCACCACTGTGAAACGTCCTGTGGCCCTCGTATGGTTGCTGCTTCTGGCATCGTCTCATTGTGATTAGAGGATGTGGGGACTGACATTGTTCAGGAACTTTAGAATGGAGTGTCTAGTTCTCAGCCTCGTGCTGACAGGGTGGTGGGAGATACGGTTTTTGTCTCCAGGGCTGTTTCCATAGGATGGGTAGGCAGGCACCTTGTTGGATTCCCATCTCAACCCAGGGTTAAGGGCCTCAGTCTGCTCTTGTCAGTGTTTCCCTGATCACAGTAGTGATTGGGGAGCTGGGGGGAGATACTGTGCCCCTGTAGGCTGCCTCTAATGGCTGTGTCTTGCTAACAGCTGTCACTGCTTGGAGGTGCCCTGCCCATGTTTGAGCTGGTGGAGCAGCAGCCTTCCCACCTGGCCTGCCCTGATGTCCTGAACCTGTCCTTAGGTGAGTCCGAGACCCCAGGGCCACATCTCAGGTGGAAATGGGTGCTACCTATTTTGTTGCACAGATGTGTTCTGTGTGATGCTTCTGTCCTCCCCTCCTAGCTTTTCCCCAGATCGCATTACTTTTGACCTTCAAGATTTGTGTGGGCCCTGGCCAGGCAGTTCAGTTGGTTAGAGCATCGTTGTTCATGGTTGCGAGTTTGATCCTCCCCAGTCAGGGCACATATAAGAATCAACCAATGAATGCATAAATAAGTGGAACAACAAATCAATCAATCTATCTTTTAAAAAAATCAATAAAAAGATTTGTATGAACAGTAGGGGGGGTGGGTAAGGGCAGAGGGTGGGGGGGGAACGGGGTGGAGGGGAGCTATGGGGGGAAAAAAAGAGGAACAACTGTAATAATCTGAACAATAAAGATTTAATTAAAAAAAAAAAGATTTGTATGAACCCCAGATGCAGTCACTAGGTGATTTATATGTGCAGCAAGGGATCAGGGACACTGCTGAGTATCCCCCTCCTCTCGCCCTGAGTGTAGCAGCAACAGTCTGACCCTCATCTTTACCCCACGTACGGTCATCTGGCCCTGTGCACATGGATCTGGGAGTGTTCCTCACAGGTTCTGGGTTCTGTATGATCCAGAATATGCTGGGCTTTTTGTAATGTCATGAGCTTTCCATGCAATCCACTGTGTGAGTCAGTCCTGCTCTGGCAGGCTTTGCATCCCACTACTCCATGATTCTGTGCCCAGGGGCCTTCTCCCTCGAACAGACCCTCAACTCCCTCCAAGTGTACTGAGCATATGGCACACAGAAAACGGAGACTTGGCATTGAGGCTGTGAGCACATCCAGTTCACACCTCCATCTGTACCTGGGAAGACCAATGTGAGGACCATGATGAGCCTGTGGAACTGTGTATTGAAAGTCACTGAGGACAAAGATGATGGAGCCCACTGTCCCGTTTCTGTGGAGATCATTGAGGATGATGACGGAGCCAGCTGTCCCATTTCCGTGAAGATCACTGAGGAGGAGGATGGAGCCAGCTGACCCCTGTCTCTGTGAAGATCACTAAGGAGGAGGATGGAGCCATGACAATGGAGCCTGCTGCCTGACAAACCACATTGGGGTCAGGGTGCTGGCATTGAGACTCAGGACAGGTGCCCCATCTGTCCCAGATGGTACAGGGTTGGCAGTCCTCTTGGGACTGGTGGCCCTCGCCCTCAGCCCTGTCATGTGCCCCTAGGCTCTGGTGAGCGATGTGTCTGCTCCTCCTCTTGGTAAGTTTCTGGCATCTCTTTCCTGCTTCCATCCCTGCCAGTGAGGCCCCTGGCCAACTCAGACCTGAAGGCTGCACCTCTGCTGGCAAGAGTCCTGATGTCCTCTTGCTGCCTACCACCCTGAGCAAGCACCCTTGCCTGTTGGGCACAGTGCCAGGGCCAGCTCCAGCACAAGCAAGCCAGCAGGTGTGGTTGATGCACACCTAGCAGCTTGTCTCATCCCCACATTCAGAGTAACCCATGCAGGTGTCTGATGGGGTTTTGTCTTACTTCTTCTAGATTCTTCTGACGTAGAGCGACTGGAAAGATTCTTTGACTCAGAAGATGAGGACTTCGAAATCTTGTCCCTTTGAAAATCCTAAAGTCGGGGGATATCTCGACTGGCCCTTGTTGGGGGTGCCTTTGAGAGCTCAGCTTGGCCTCAGGGCGCTTGGTGCCACCGCATTTCATCCATCCTGCCCACCGCCCACCGCCCATGTCCTGGCCGCCTCTGCCCTCGACGGGGGACTGCATTATGCTCAAGGCCTCACTGCAGGAGTGGGACTGCTCGGCCCAGACACTTCGGGCTGCTGGAGAGAACCAGGAATCGCAGGGAGCAGAGCAGCGGCAGGGCTTGAGTGTTCACGTCACCTTCGTCCTGCTTCCTTCAGGCTCTCAGTTCTAGGTTTTCTTTGGAATTAAAGTCCTGTTTGAAGTTACTCGACACAGACATGCATTTCTGTTGGGCCTGTTCTGAGTCCAAGAAGACTGGAGACCAAATGAGAAGTGGCCCTGGGACTAAGCCTGCAAGCCCTCCACCTGCAGCCCTCCCGTGGCTCTACCAGGCTGCCTAGTGGGAGATAGGAAGAAGTGACCACCTGGCATCTCTTGGCTTTGGAGAGAGAAATAGCAGAGAGGTGGGGCATGGTGCAAACCAGAGACCACCATGCGTGTGACTTGCCAGGAAAGAGCTACAGGTAGAGCCCAAGTGGACTCACTTTCCTCACCTTTTGGTTCCAGCATTTTGAGACGCCCATGTGCTGCTGCTTACTTGTTGCACTGGCTTTCCCTGGGTGGGCGGTGGGCGGTGGGTGAGTGGGGAGCTGCCTTGGTCTGTGATCCTTGGGCCCATGCGGGACATGGGGGCACGGCAAGCCTGGCAGGCAGAGGCTAAGGGCACCACAGAACTGCCCTCCCGGTACTGAAGCTTCAGATGGTTTGGGGCCAAAGGGTGAAACCCTGCTCATGGTGCAAGATAGGCACCCCATCGCTCATCACGTCACTTGGAGACATTTCCAGGTCCTTCTCAGCACTGACTGACAGCACCTGCAACCCTGAACCCTGGTTGGGCCCAGAGAGCATGGCTTCCATGCAGGCTTCGAGTCCTGAAGAGTAGCCTCCGTGAGACCTTCCAACAGGCACCTGGGGAGCTCAGGGAGGTGGCACCTTCTTCCCGGGGGTCTTCCTTGCAGAGCCCCTCCCTCCCTCGGCATCTGCACCTGGGACTGCGGGCGGGGGCCCACCTGATGGCAGAGAGCACCCAGCCCGAGTGTCGCCGACATAAGTTAATTTGCTCTTGTCTCTCCCTCCTTCAGGGAAGGAGGAAGGCTGGGCGGTCTCCATTCCTTCTGCTGCATCTTGGAAATGTGCCGCCCTGCCTGCTGGGCCAGGGAGTCTTACTGCAGCCCCCTGTGTGGTGCAGACGGTGGAAGTGGGTGACAGCCTGGCCAAAGGGGAGCTTTGTCTTAGTGATTTGAGAAGGATTACTGAAGAGAGTGTTGTCCATTCTTAGTAGTTTGCAGTTCTTCATCGCAAATAACAGTTTCAGTAGAAAACAAAGTCTATTGTCTCTGTGTTGGCCTTTCCTCATTAGAGTTGTAGTGATGGAACAAGAATGAATATTTTCTAAGTTCATGTCCATGGATCTCAGTGAGGATTTGTGGACTCATGGCAAGCTCATCTCCCCCACACTAGGCAGACAGACCTCAGCTGACAAGGCTCTGCTAGCTGCGACACGCTTCCTGTGGTCCTAAAGCAAAGAGGACGAGGAAACTTGGTTTAAGAAAACACACAATAACCCATTCTTCAGCAGGAGTGGTTAGCCTAGTTCGTTGTCCCTCTGGTGAGCCAAGACTACTGGCCGAAGGCAGTTGCTGGTGCCTCAGCCAGTTCCCTCACCATGCCCGAGATGTCCTAGCCGGACAATGCAGGGGGTGACTACCCTACTTGGCTCCCTGCTTCCTGCCACCCGTCCTCTGTTTAGGTGCAAGGGGACCAATGCCAGAAAAGAAAGCAGGAAACATTGTGCTGGTCCCCAGGTGAGGTGGCCCAAGAACCCAAGTCATGGCCTCTGTTAGCATCTGCTGTAACAAATCTTGCCCAGTGGCTTCAAACAACAGACATTCAGGTCCTGAGGGCAGTGGTCAAACAAGATGTCAGCAGGGCACGCTCCTCCTGTGGCACCTGGGACGTTTCCTCGCCTTGTCCAGCTTCTGGAAGCTGCCCTCCTGCCCTCCACCCTCAGTGAAGATGCCTTTGCACCCTCCCTCTGGCTCGGCCTCTCCTGCTTCTCTGTTGGAGGCCCTTCCTGGACAGTCTAGGATGGCCACCTGTCTCAAGGTCCCTCTGCCTTTAGGGACCTTGAGACAGAGGTGCTCTTCACAGGTTGTAGGGTTGAGAATGCAGGTGTCTTTGGAGGCCTTTTTTCTGTCAATGCCTCAAAGGCTTCTTTAGGGTGCTGGGAGGCAAACAGCCCCTCAGCTAAACCTGCTGCCACAACCCTGGCCAGGCTGTTTGACAAGTGCTGTATTTATTCAAAGTTTAAGTGGCCTTGTTGATTTGAAAGTCAGCCCATTTCTACCTTCGCCCAGCTCCACTGCCTACCACCTGAGGGACTCTGTTCAGCTCCGGCCTCTGAGCCTACTCATCTCTGACCCCACAGCTCCGAGAGGATGGTCTCTACTGAAACCTCCACCTCATCCCAACATCCTGACCCTCGGCAGAGAAAGTTCCTAGTCCAGTTTCCAGCCCTTCCCAGCTCCAGCTGAGGGGTCTACACTCAGCCCTCATCCCAGCCTGTGCTGGGTGCTTAGGGCACAGCCTGGACCCACCCACCTCCCTCTGGTCATCTCACCCATGCCCACTGCCAACACCAACCCTCCCTGACAGCCACGACCTCTCCGTGAGTGCCAGCCTGATCCTGATGTGTCCACAAAGGCAGGGGAGCTACTGGTTCAGGTCTCAAGAAATCAACCCAGTTTCCTTTCATTTTAGATGGGACCTGGTTATGTAAGAAGTCAACCAGGCAGGTGAGTGATAGGCGTGTCCCAGTAGGGGACCCAGGGACTGTCTTAATGAAAACGATTGACTCTGTGCGACTCCTGGAATTCTGACCTCACAGGTGTATAGCGTGGTCTGGTGGATATGCTGACGCCCACGGACGACCTCCCATCAGCAGGGCTACAGTGAGCAACTCGAACCCCATGAGTAGATAGAAGAACCACGTTCCCAGGACCGAGTGTGCCGACACCAGCCGTCCTCATCTGTCGTGCCTTGTGTCCTCAAGGTGATATGGAGGGACCAGGACAGGGCCAGGCAGCCTGGGTAACTTGGGGGAGCTGGGGTCTGGCTGCCACTGCTATGCAGTACCTCCCAGCCAAATGTAGGTTCTGCCTCAGTCTGGTCTGAACTGTCAGTTGACCACTTACAACTCTGGGGTTAAGCAAATACCCGAGTATTTGTTTTTTTCTGCCTAGAATCCAGTGTCCTGGCTTCAGAAGGGCACTGAGCCCCACAGTGCTGTCTGAACAGAGGGGGTCCCTGTGCAGCACCTGGTGGATTCTCCTAGGAAGGGTGGACTAGGCAGGGTCCACGCTTATCTGGGTTCCACAGAGAAGGCTGCCCTTCATGCCCTCATGGACGTGGGCAGAATGTAACCAGGCTGCCTGGTCCCTCCATATCACCTTGAGGACACAAGGCACGACAGATGAGGATGGCTGGTGTCCGCACACTCGGTCCTGGGGGTGTGGTTCTGGTATCTGCTCACACGGGTTCGAGTTGCTCACTGTAGCCCTGCTGATGGGAACAGGTCACCTTTGGGCATCAGCACATCTACCAGACCATGCTGTATACGTTAGAGCAGTTCAAGATAGAACGGAATGAAATCATATTCCTGGCATTTAGGGCCACAGCAGGAACAACAAAGGTACCAGCTGGCCCTAGCTGGTTTTGCTCAGTGGATAGAGAATAGGCCTATGGACTGAAAGGTCTCGGGTTCGAGTCCAGTCAAGGGCACACGCCCAGTTGTAGGTCCAATCCCCAGTAGGGGGCATGTAGGAGGCAGCCAGTCAATGATTCCCTCTCCCTTCTTCTCTGAATCAATAAAAATATATATTTTTTAAAAAGGTACCAACTATGTTCAGATGAAATGGGACATCATACCTCAAGACACAGCCAGCCAGACCCAGTGAGGCCAGACCAATGGGGGTGGTTCAGAGAAGCCCTACTGGCCAGCGTAGGGCTCTCCCACCCAGAAGGACTCTTAAGGAGAGGAGGCCTTCGACAACGTACTTTCAAAGTAACTTTTATTCGTGCCTGTAAGAAATTCAGATTTTAAACTGATTGCCACATCAATGATCTTGAACCTGCTTGGATATGGTCATTAAGTTTCAATAAAAAGCGCAATGATTTATCAACATCCTCAGGGTGAGAGGGCAGAGGAAGGCTGAGTGACATACCACGAAGTCCCTGTGCCCAGGCCTCTCGAGAGGCTCATCGTAGCTCTGCTTGTTGTTGACTTGTGCACAGCCCCCATGTTGTGCAATGTGAACACTCTGTACATCAAGCCTTTCATAAGGCTCCTGCCTCGCAGGACCCAGGGAAGGGGACAGTCCCTCCACATTTATGTCCACAGCTTCCCCAGCGGCCTGTGCGCTGCGGCCTGGATGATATCCTCAGAGAGCGTGCGGATCTCCTTGTGGATGTCTTCAATGCTTTTGGAAGCATCAACCACCTATTCCCATGGGATGTCAGGAGAAAAAGGATGGTTAATGCTCTTCACCTTTGTCGGTGAACATGTGGATTTCAGACAGGGCTGGGTCTGGGAAGGGCACAGTACAGGCCCCTTGGAGTCCTTCACACCTTTCTGACCCTCAGCCCCAGCTGGGCCGGGAGGGCTTTGCTTGTATCCTTGGGACGAAGCTAACCCACATACCTGCTGCATCCCAGATGCAGAACACCCTATCCTCCTGATCGTCTTCCTCCTCCCCATGACTCCCCCAGGTAAACACACATCAGCTCTCCTCAGGTCTGGCTGAGGAGGCAGAGAGAGGGCAATGCCTGTGCTAGGCTATATTCCCACACATCCTCGGCCACAAAATTCACTCATTAAATGCTGTGTTCTCATGGAAAGCATTAGGACCTCTGGTACCAAGGGAGCCAGCCCACAAGAAACATCTCCTCCAGGGTGTGGGAGACTGGGGATTCAAGTCCTTCTCCTACCATCGATCTAGGTCTAGGCTAGTGATGGCGAACTCATTTTTTTGGTTGATTTTTCTTTGTTAAATGGCATTTAAATATATAAAATAAATATCAAAAATATAAGTCTTTGTTTTACTATGGTTGCAAATATCAAAAAATTTCTATATGTGACGGCACCAGAGTTAAGTTAGGGTTTTTCAAAATGCTGACACGCTGAGCTCAAAAGGTTCGCCATCACTGGTCTAGGCTAAGAACAGCCAATTCTGGAAAAGCTCCTGGGGGGTGTAGACGAACTCAGAAAAATGCAATAATGAGGTCTGACTAGGCAGAAATGAGAATGACTCCTGAGACCCCACACAAGTACACCCCGAAGGTCACCTCACCAGCCACTGCTCCAGCAGCACAGCTCTTACACAGACTTTCCCAGGCAGCAACACTGGATGGTGTGAGGGCCGTTAGCCACCAATTAATTTTCAAATGGTCCTCGGGAAGTTTTTGTACTATACTTGCAACTTTTCTGGAAGTATCTTATTGCTTAAAAACTTTGAAAAAGAATGCTAAAAAAAAAGACAAAAAACTTCCAGATAAACAAAAGCTGAGAATCCTATGCTAGGAGACCTGCCCTACAAGAAAAGGAAGTTCTTAAGGTTGAGGGAAACAAAACATGATTGGAAACGTGGAAGGAGAGATGAGCACCAGTGTGGGCCAGTAGGAAATAAAGTTTTCTGATTCATATTCCTAGCACACTACATTCTTGGCTTGATCCTTGCAGATGTTGAAATGTGTTATAAATGAGAATCATTTAAATCATGTGGAACTGACTCCAGGGTTCAGTGTGAGACGCTCCATCAGTACAAGTGAAAGCCTTGCTACTCCCTCATAGGGAGGAAGGGCTCGTGGTCACCCCAGACAGACCATGTGGCTCCGCATTGACCTGAGCACACATGAAAGAGAGGAGAAACGAGCCCACCCCAGCAGCAGGCTCAGCTCCTAGGATGGAGGTGGGGAAGCACACGCCAGATGACAGGGTCAACAGCTTAACCTTTCAGAGTCACATGGATGCAGCATGTGACCGGCAGTGGACCTGGTCAACAGAGGATAAAAGTGGCTCTCAAGCCTGGGGTGGCACCTGCAGCACCGCCTGACCTCTAGAGCCCAGGCACTCAGATGTGCCTGAGAGAAGGCAGTGGTGGGATCTGCTTTGGCCCTGCTGGCAGGACAGTAGCTCATCTGCAGGGAGGGAGGAGTAAGGCTGATGCCTGGGACTGAGGCCAGGGCACTGGATGATGGGCGCCGAGGTGAAGGAGAGCCCCACCCAGCACAGGGAGATGGCTGAGTGGGCCATGGGGGTGGTGTCGGGGCTCAAGCACCCCAGGCCAGGCCAGCAGAGTCAGGAGCCGTCTCCTGCCCAGGAGCTAGTGAGGAGACAGGCATGCCCCCCACAAGTGGTGCAGGAACACCCAGGAGCTGGCACTGTGCAGGACAAGGGGCGTAAGGGAGGCAGTCTCTGACCCAGCAGCTGAAAGGGGGTGGACTGAGGGCTGGCCCCCAAAACGGACAAGTTCAGACTTCTGATGCAAGGACCTAAGCACAGACTGCAAGATAAAGTATTACTCTTCCAATAAGCATGGAAGGTGATGTGAGGAGTAA